AATTCTTGGCCAAAACCACCAAAAATGTAAGTCTTACACCTTACAAAATTTTTGACCAGAATATACTTTTTTCTTGAATTGAAATTTATGGTTTAACTAATTGGCACTTTCAGAATAACACACAAACCCTGAATCACACCTTCGAAAACCCATAGTTGATGAGTAATTAGCATTGAAAATGTCAGTAAAATCTTTCAAAAATGTCAAAATCTTCAAGGGTCATTTTCTTGGCTAATTAATTTTGATATCGAATCGTGGACCACATATTCCTAATCAGCAAGCCTAGGAGAGTACCCATACTGTGATTTTTCAGCAAAATCACCTCCTAATAAAAATCACCACTCAAAATGTAAGTCTTACACTCCATAAAAAAATTTTTGACCAAAATATACTTTTTTTTCTCGGAATTGAAATTCTAAGTGGTTTAATTAATTAAGCACTTTCAGAATAACACACAAACCCTGAATCACACCTTTCGAAACCCATATAGTTGATGAGTACTAGCAACAGGCCAGTAAAATCTTTCAAAATGTCTAATATCTTTTCAAGGGTCATTTTGGCCACTAATTACTCTGATATCGAATCGTGACCACATATTCATAATCAGCAAGCTCAGGAGTACCCATACTGGGTGATTTTTCAGTAAAAATCAAATTCTTATTAAAAAATCACCTCAAAAATAAGTCTTACACCTTACAAAAATTTTTGACCAAAATATTCTTTTTCTCGGAATTGAAATTTAAGGGTTTAACTAATTAAGTACTAACAACACACAAAACCCTGAATCCACACCTTCGAAACCCATAGTTACGAGTAATTAGCATTGAAAAATGTCAGTAAAATCTTTCAAAATGTCTAAAATCTTTCATGTCATTTTGGCTAATTAATTACTCTGATATCGAATCGGACCACATATCTGCTAATCAGCAAGCTCAGGAGTACCCATACTGTGATTTCAGCAAATCAAATTTTTGGCCAAAACCACCAAAAAATGTAAGTCTTACACCTTACAAAATTCTTGACCAAAATATACTTTTTTCCTGAATTGAAATTTCTATGGTTTAATCCACTAAGTACTTTCAGAATAACACACAAACCCTGAATCACACTCCTTCTGAAACCCATAGTTGATGAGTAATTAGCATTGAAAAATGTCAGCAAATCTTTCAAAATGTCTAAAATCTTTTCAAGGGTCATTTTGGCCACTAATTACTCTGATATCGAATCGTGGACCACATATATCTGGTTAATCAGCAAGCTCAGGAGTACCCCATACTGTGATTTTCAGAAAAATCAAATTTGGCCAAACTACCAAAAATGTAAGTTCACACCTACAAAATTTTTGACCAAAATATACTTTTTTCTCGGAATTGAAATTCTATGGTTTAACTAATTAAGTACTTTCAGAATAACACACAAACCCCGAATCACACCTTCGAAACCCATAGTTGATGAGTAATTAGTATTGAAAAGTCAGTAAAATCTTTCAAAATGTCTAAAATCTTTCAAGGGTCATTTTCGCCACTAATTACTCGATATCGAATCAGACCATATATTCATAATCAGCAAGCTGAGGAGTACCATTTCGTGATTTTCAGCAAAATCAAATTTTTACTAAAAACCACCAAAAATGTAAGTCTTACACCTACAAAAATTTTGACCAAATTATACTCTTTTTTCTCGGAATTGAAATTTAAGCGGTTTAATCCACTAAGTACTTTCAGAATAACACACAAACCCTGAATCACACCTTCGAAAACCCATAGTTGATGAGTAATTAGCATTGAAAATGTCAGTAAAATCTTTTCAAAATGTTCTAAAATCTTTCATGGGTCATTTGGCCACTAATTACTCTTGATATCGAATCGTGGGACCATATTCATAACTCAGCAAGCTCAGGAGTACCTATACTGTGATTTTTCAGAAAATCAATTTTGGCTAAAATCCACCAAAATGTAAGTTTTACACCTTACAAAATTTTAATTAAATATATACTTTTTTTCTCAAATCTGAAATTTAAGTGGTTTAATCCAATTGGCACTTTCAGAATAACACACAAAACCCTGAATCACACCTTCGAAACCCATAGTTGATGAGCATCAGCATTGAAAATGTCAGTAAAATCTTTCAAAATGTCTAAAATCTTTTCTGGCGGGTCATTTTGGCTTACTAATTACTTGGATATCGAATCGTGGACCACATATTCATAATCAGCAAGCTCAGGAGTACCCATACTGTGATTTTCAGAAAAATCAAATTTTGGCCAAAATCACTCAAAATGTAAGTCTTACACTCATGTATTTTTAATCAAAATATACTTTTTTTTCTGAAATTGAAATTTTAAGTGGTTTAATCCACTAAGTACTCTTCAGAATAACACAAACCCTGAATCACACCTCGAAAACCCATAGTTGATGAGTAATTAGCATTGAAAAATGTCAGTAAAATCTTTCAAAATGTCTAAAATCTTTCAAGGAATATTTTGGCCACTACCACTTGATATCAAATCGTGGACCAATATTCATAATCAGCAAGCTCAGATACCCATACTGTGATTTTTCAGCAAATCAGCCTCTTGGCCAAACTACTAAAAAATGTAAGTCTTACATCTTACAAAATTTTTGACCAAAATAATATACTTTTTTCTCGAATTGAAAATTCTAAGTGGTTTACCTAATTAAGTACTTCCTTTCAGAATAACACACAAAACCCTGAATCACACCTTCGAAACCTATAGTTGATGAGTAATTAGTATTGAAAAATGTCAGTAGTAAAATCTTTCAAAAATGTCTAAAATCTTCAAGGGTCATTTTGGCCACTAATTACTCTGATATCGAATCGTGGACCATATTCATAATCAGCAAGCTCAGGAGTAACGCATACTGTGATTTTCAGCAAATCAAATTTTTGGCCAAACTACCAAAAATGTAAGTCTTACACCTTACAAAAATTTTTGACCAAAATATACTTTTTTCTCGGAATTGAAATCAAGGTTTAAATCCAATTACACTTTCAGAATAACACACAAACTCTGAATCACACTCTTCGAAAACCCATAGTTGATGAGTAATTAGCATTGAAAAATGTCAGTAAATCTTTCAAAATGTCTAAAATCTTTCATGGGTCATTTTTGGCTTAATTAATTACTCTGATATCGAATCGTGACCACATATTCATAATCAGCAAGCTCAGGAGTACTCCATACTGTGATTTTTCAGCAAAATCACCCTATTAAAAACTACCTCAAAATGTAAGTCTACACCTTACAAAATTTTGACCAAAATATACTTTTTTCGGAATTGAAATTTCTAAGTGGTTTAACTAATTAAGCACTTTCAGAATAAATACACAAAACCTCTGAATCACACTTCCTTCGAAACTCCATAGTTGATGAGCACTAGCATTGAAAAATGCCAGTAAATCTTCATAATGTCTAATATCTTTCATGGGGTCATTTTGGCCACCACTACTCTTCTGATATCGGAATCGTGACCACATATTCATAATCAGCAAGCTCAGAGTACCCATACTGTGATTTTCAGCGCAAATCACCCTTAATAAACTACCAAAAATGTAAGTCTTACAATCTACAAAAATTTTGACCAAAGTTCTTTTTTCTCGAATTGAAATTCTAAGTGGTTTAACTAATTAAGTACTTTCAGAATAACACACAAACCCTGAATCACACCTCGAAAACCCATAGTTGATGAGAGTAATTAGCATTGAAAAATGTCAGTAAAATTCCTTTTCAAATGTCTAAAATCTTCTCAAGGGTCATTTTGGCCAATTTCAATTACTCTGATATCGAATCGTGGACCACATATTCATAATCAGCAAGCTCAGGAGTACCCATACTGGTGATTTCCAGCAAATCAAATTCCACAAATCCACCAAAATGTAAGTCTTACACCCACAGTGCCTTGACCAAAATATACTTTTTTCTCGGAATTGAAATTTAAGTGGTTTAACTAATTAAGCATCTTCAGAATAACACACAAACCCTGAATCACACCTTCGAAACCCATAGTTGATAGCAATTAGCATTGAAAATGTCAGTAAAATCTTTCAAAATGCTCCAAAATTCAGGTCATTTTGGCTAATTAATTATTTTGATATCGAATCGTGAACTTCACATATTCATAATCAGCAAGCCTAGCAGTACCCATACTGGTGATTTTCAGAAAACCAATTTTTGGCCAAAAACTACTCAAAAATGTAAGTCTTACAATCTACAAAATTTTTGACCTAAAATATAATTTTTTCGGAATTGAAAATTTAAGTGGTTTAACCACTAAGTACTTTTCAGAATAACACACAAACCCTGAATCACACCTTCGAAACCCATAGTTGATGAGTAATTAGCATTGAAAAGTCAGTAAAATCTTTCAAAATGTCTAAAATCTTTTCATGGTCATTTTGGCCACTAATTACTCTGATAATGAATCGTGGACCACATATTCATAATCAGCAAG